CCCAGAACTCCCCGTTCCAAGTGTTGTACAGATTGTACATGTTGAAGTACGGCGATATGTATGGCTCGACGCTGATTTTTTGAACAGCAGCCGCCCGGAGCACATGACTGCAAGGGTAGCCCTCAAGCTTGGGCTTGTTACAAGTGCACTCACAGGAGGTTGAGCCAAGGGTGACAGCTTGCTTTTTTGATCCTCTGTGGTGACCCTTAACGTACTTGGCTCGCACATTGACCTCCCACTTATTCCTAAGTGCGTCCACTTACCTGCAGCCATGACTTTGGGACTTCTTTGCTTTCTCATCCAGATGTCTTTGCATCTTCTCGGACCATGGCTTGTTCAATTGAACTTGTGCTTTGGCGACGGTGACCCTGTCTGCAAAATATGACAGGGTCCGGTTCCAAGTTTCTTCAATTAGGGCTGTGATAGGCAGTGCTCGCACCCCTTTAAGAACACCATTGTACACCTCTGACATGTTGCTGGTCATTATTCCATACCGAGTCCCGGTGTTGTGAGCCTGCGCCCACTTCTCCAAATGAGGGCAATTCTTGGTGATCCACTGGCTCAAATTTATGGCCGTCCTACGACCCCTCCGGTCTTCTCTGTGCGGCAAGGCCGCGCGGTCGATCTCACCATTGATACCTGCCCATATCGCATTCATTTTGGCTTCAGTTTTTTGCATGCACATCCTCTTGAATAACTTGAACCAATCCTTGTTTTTGAATTTAGAGTAAAAGTTTGCTGCCAAATGCCTCATGCACCACCTTCCCTCTAGATCGGGCCAGCCCCACTCTTCTTCCGACGCCTTAATTATTTCAAGAGCGCTTAATAATCCAGTGTTGCGATTAGAAATGATGCAAACACCTTTACACTCTTTCACGACACCAATCTTCACGCAGCTCAGGAACCACAACCAGCTATCTTTGTTCTCGCTCTCGACCAATGCACATGCAATAGGAAGAAGATGATTATTTGCATCCGCTGAAATCGCCACCAATAGTGTTCCCTTGTACTTTCCAGTGAGAAAGGTACCATCAACAGATAATACCGGGCGACAGTGCCTGAAGGCTTGTATAGTCTGGGCGAATGCCCAGAATAAGCGGTCCAGGATTAGCTCACCCGGGTTCATTGGGTTTGGACGTTCTCTCCGCCAAACTTGAGTCCCCCTATTAGCACTTGCTATTTGATGAAGCATTCTAGGGGCATAAGAATATGCCTCCTCATAGGTACCATACAAGTTCTTGAATATATTTTCCTTCGCACGCCTAGCCTTGCTGTAGCTAACAGGGAATCCAATTAGATCCTCTGCATCTTTTTGCAGAGCCCTAACACTAATGTTGAGACTTCCCTGCACAATTGTTTCCATCGTCTGTGCCACAAATTTTGTTGTCACATTGCAGTGATCTGAAAGAGTTCCAGTTTGCTCACAGGTATGCTCCACTATTTTTGTAATATGCCATGACTGACATACCCCAGGCTTCAGTCTAGCGAGAACTCTTCCGCGGCAACCTTTCGCGGTGTGGATGCATATGACCTTCAACTCTTTTTTATCAGACTGCTTCACTCTATGCTGGCGGTGGATGCCGATTGCATAGCTACCCATTGCCTGGTAAGCAAACTTCTTATCTGGGAAAACTTGCCCAACCTCCAGGCTTCCCGCTCCTAGGCCAGAAGCATAGTGAAATTCGTTGGTGATGCTCATATCCTGTAAAAACCCAGGTTGCAGTGCCGCCGCGACCGCCCTCTGAGGAGGAACATCTTCTTATCCGCTTGACTCCGAAGACGCAGAAGAATGATCATCATCATCTAGCGCCTCCGGCAATCCCTCCACGTGTTCGCTCATGTCAACGGCCGCCGACCAATATCCTGTGTCATACACAGGCTGGCCGCCCGTCGGTTCCGATGGGCCGATGCTAGGGGCTGATGTGATGGCCAACTCGACCTCACCACCCCTGCTACTGCATCCGGCAACATCAGTGACTGAAATGAACTCCACATACACCATCGGCTGACCATACATTGAGTTATTGGGATTGCTTGCAAACCTCATGTACGACCCCCACGACCGATCACCTGTGACAGGCCGCAAACCCCAACGGGCAACTGTCCCATCATTTCCTCCGTCAACGACGAAGGCCTCCATTGTCATTTTTTTCCTGCATCACTGGGCCAAACACCGCTCGGATGCACCTTCTAACAGCTGCGTAACCCACGTTGACCATGTCTCTCACCACTACTGTAGTCGACTCGCAGAAGGACACATCCACCCCGCATGGACCGTCGCGTAAGACGTTCCCATAGTACACTATTAAATTTTCCATAGTACCTAACCAACATACATGTTTACATTTCAAATAATTAATAACTGAACATTTAGTAACGATGACAACATTTACATATCTTACGACTAAAATAATAACCGTATTTTCGTTATAAATATTCGGTTTGTTTTTAGAATCATTTGCTTAGACTTTAAGGGGTTGTTTGGTTAACGGGTATTTAAAGATCTATTTTTCTCAAACTTGTCTACGAGCGTAACAAACTAAAACTCTGTTTGCTTTTCTCTAACTACCCCAAAAATATCCTAAAATAGTTCTCGTAACATGCAAAAACTTAGCTTCTGGAAAAACGACTATTAGTAAAATATGGTTTTCTACATAATTTTCTTACAACAGGTTATGACAAAACTGAGGGTAAGTACTAGCTATCCAAACAACCACTAAACATAATATTACGATAATAACATTTAAATATCATATGAGTAAAATATCTAACTTCTTCCGGCATGATATAATGTTTTCATATCATACGATAAAATTCATTTATTTACAAATAATAATTTTTGCAGCGGCATGACAGTACATCAATATAAAAAATAACATACCGCATGGGAATTACTCGCTATCCAAACAACCAGTAAACATAATAGTACGATAATAACATTTTAATATCATATGAGTAAAACATTTAATTTCTTTCGGCTTTATATAATTTTTTTTCACATCATACGATAACAATCATTTATCTACAAATAATAATATTTGCAGCAGCATACACATTATTCACAATAGTACATCAATACAAAAAATATTAACAAAATTACAGTGTCATTTTCACCTTAGCTCCAATATGGATGTGCTTGCGAATGCAATTAAGCGTCAAAATAGTTCCAATAAATATCCGTCGCCAGTACTATATGAACCTCGTCAACCTATTATCACATTAAAAACAATATTACACACGGATTTTTCTTCCTGCTAACAAAAGTATGAAAATAGCACTTCCATGTATGTGTTCATCACCTCAAAATGGGACAGCGAAAATGGAAACACAATTTCTTCAATCACGTCTTCTCCTCCTTGTTTGCTACTAAGATGAATTATTTTACCTAATTACATACATCATTAAGTACATTAGCACCTAATCTTAACATATAAAATTTAGATTATTGCGATATAACAAAGTAGACCTACGGTTTCCTAACTATAGACTTATTAATAAACATACCACATAAAATAACATACCACATGAAATAACATACCACATGCAATAAACAATTATAGTACAATATTTTCTTAATTACCGTATTAAGATTTCCCGCATGTCAATACTAATGGACGCACCTAACATTGATGCAACATCTTCAACCTACTATTTCAAAAAATAGTTTAAATGCTACATCTCTCGTCTGAAATTATTTCTAACCTCTAAGCACTACCGTCACATAGCTAATAACAAGCTAAAGGACGAACTAATTACCACCCTGCATGCATAAATAAATAAATGTATTGCAAAGCTCATACCTTGATCTTCAACTTCGTAGTTCACTTTGCACGGCTATTCCTACTACAGAAACTCCAAATGACTCCTCCAAGTGCTGAAATAATGCCTAAAGCAACATAGAATACACACTTAGGAACTAATCAAATAGAATAAAAACATCGTGCATGCGAATGAAACCAACAAAAATGGATAGATCTTACCTTAATCTATCTTTTCTTCAACTTCATCATCCTCAAAATCCAACTCTAAATCGCCCTAAATCACGAGTGAAAGTGCTTACTGAGCTTTCTTTTCTATCTGTACTTAGAGAGCAAAGGAGAGGAACGAGGTTACAGAGTGCTTGCGCACGGAGCTGAAGCATGGCATATAAAAGGGAGAGGATCCCTGTAGTGTCGGCAGCCTCGGATTCCCACGCGTGAAAATCAACATCATCAGCAACAGCATGCAAGGAGCAAAAGCAAAGCAACAAGCCAGAGTGATTTTCGCCCGTGAAATTCGTCGTTTGCCGCGCGTCGGAATCAGCAAAAACAACACAACGAGCCAAGTGATTCCCGCCCCGCCAGTTTTCGCGCGTGGGAATCAGTGCCAGGACCTCGCCTTCCGTGCACAGTCAGCGTGCACCAGCTGCTGTCGGCAGGGGTGGCCGCCTCAGCCAGTGGCGGCGAGGCCCACCGGCGAGGCCCGCTCGCATCAGGGCCTGTCGCCCAGGCAGCGACCGCGCCAGGGCTGGCCGCCTCGCCCGGTGGCGGCCGGGCCCACCTGGCCCGCCCCGTTCCGTCGCGGCGCGACGCACAGTGGAGATTCCGTTCGGCTGGCGTGGCCGTCTCCTGCGGTGGCGGCCGGGCCAGCCGCCTCCTGGCGTGGCGGCAGGTGCCACGTGTCGCCTGCCGCGCCTGCCGCCACCGCTGAGGGGGTCCTTTTTGTCAAAATGATCTAGAGGTGGTCTTTTTTGTCAATTCATCTCGGCAGGAGGTCCTTTTGGACAAAAAATCCTCAAGATGGAACGAATAAACATCAACTGAGACATAAACAAGTCTCAGTCGACTGATACTTAGTAAAACTGTTATAATAAAGTTTGATGAACAGATCGGAACTTTTTCCGGAAAAAAAAAACCCGCTACATATACTACACTACTATTACGTGAATGTGAGTATCTGCGCCGCTGATTCCAGCTGATCTTTTGACCCCGGGCGTGTCTGTGAGGCGAGTGGTGACAAGTCTATAGAGCAAATGTACTCCCTGCTGCCTGCACTCCTTCTACTTGATCTATTGACCTCGGGCACTGTGAGGTGGTGGCAAGTCTACAGGTCAGCGCGAAGTCTACGCAGCGCTTCTTCCAGACCGCGTGGGCCGGAGTGGGCGCCGCTACGCTGGCGTCCATGGATCTCTTATTTGTCTTGGGCACCAAGCCGTACTCCTCGTGCTCGGGCGCCGGTGCCGTGAGAAGGTCGACGCCGAAGAGTCGCACGGTCCTCGTCACCGGGGCCGGCGACGGGGCGGCCGCCGCGTTAAGGAAGGTCGTCGTGCTCTTGGACCGGAGCTTGCAGTCGATGAAGAGCTGGTTGTTGCCGGAGGCGGAGCGGTAGAACCCGACCGCGTCGCCGGCGTGCAGGCCCTTCTCCTTGACGAAGCGGCTCCACCCCTTTGTGAGCACGTAGCTCTGGCTGCTGTTCCAGTACGAGTACCGGAACCTCCACATCTTTCCGACGGCGTCATCGAAGTTGAGCAGCACGCCCTTGCACTCGCCTGGTACGGCGGTGCTGGCAGAAGGGAGCTGCAGCGGGAAGTGCTTCTCGGCGTGCTGCTTGGGGATTACCAGCCGGTTCAGCTTCCCCACGTCGCTGGGCGTGACCGTCTTGTCGAACAGGTGCTCGCGCCGCGCCGCCGCGGAGGGCGCCGCGGCTGAAGGAGCCGACGAGGCGGGAACTAACGACGACGACGTAGGGGACGACGCCGCGGAGGCGAGGAAGGCGCGCTTATGCTGCGCGAGCTCATCGGGGTAGATGTGCTTGCGCAGCATGTCCACGACCTCGGCCTTGGAGCGGGCGGCGAGGAAGCGGAGCTCGGCGGCGTCGCCGGGGTCGGACTCGGCGAGCGGGCGGAAGTTGGTGACGGCATCGCGGCCGCGGAAGCGCTGCGCCGCCGCATCGTAGGCGCGCGCAGCCTCGGCCTCCCCCGTGAAGGTGCCGAGCCAGACGCGCTGGTGGCGTTCATAGATCTGCGCGCCCCAGCGCCCGTTGGGCTGCGGCACCACGCCCTTGTACTTGGACGACGGCAGCCTGCCGACGCGGCAGGAGTCCGCCTCGGCGCCAGGCTCCGGCGCGTCCATGACCGCGCTGGCCCCGCTGCCGATGCGCTGCAGCGGCTTGGTCGCCGGCGCGGCCGGCGCCGGAGAGGCCTTCTTGCCCGTGGACGCGCCGCTGCTCACGTCGCCCACGAGGCAGCTCCTCGCGCTGTCCATCCGATCACCACCGAGAGAAATCAAGAAGATGCTTAGCTAGTAGTAGCTTAATTAGCTAAAGGTTGTGTGGAAATGGAGGCAGTAGGTAGGTAGGTGCGTCCGTGCGTGTGTTATATAGAGGATGAGACGAGGTGAGTGTGAGTGTGGCTAAGCTGGCTAGTGCATACACCAACCACACTATATTGTATTGTTTCATACAATTTCCACACATGGGCTTATGATTTTTTTTGTCTTTCATATGTGTAGTACATAATAGATATACTATTGTTTCTTTTTATTTATACATGCTAGTGTTGTTTTTCATTTGCATGGTACTTTAGTTATACATAAATGATTTTATATTTCTTTGCAGACAGTACTTGATATTAGTATCAGTTTGTCTAATCCACATCTAAATATTTTTTTAAAATGTCACATCTAAGCTTCCACAAATATATAATGTAACAACAAGTATTAGTACTTGTGTATAAGGTTTATGTTTTGGACTTAAGGTTTCAATTTAAATATTATATATTTATATAGGCCTCGTGGGCACTTGTGTTGATGTGGGTCAACTAGTAGATATTTTATGGCGGCTTTCATGGAAAGGATAAATGAAAAGATCAAAGACTACAATGAGGATGATGATGAACACACTAGTTGGCCATGCTACGCACCCAGTATCGTATGGTGTGGTTGCGTGAGAAATTCAGAGTGCCATTCTTGCATTTCCTTTTGTTGCCTTCTAGTTTTAACTTTGTTTGGGAGGAAGAAATGTAGTAGCACGCCAAGGAAAGCATCTCCTCCTCTTAGAAACGCCTACAAGTGGAAGAACAAAATGTGTGAGCTGAGCTAGCTGCTAGCTCAGCTGACCCATTTTTGTTTTGGCGCTTATGCAACAGGTAATATGTTGTTGTGTGCCAGTCACTCATAGTAAACGATGACGCTGATGTCGCCGTAGAATTTTGTGGGAGTTCTAGTCTTCTAGATCGATGGGTATGCATGTTTGCATCGGTCGATCGATTCCTATTTGATATTTTTGATCTTTTATTGACTATTCACCGTACGTGCATAGAATTTCTTCATCACCGAAAATACGAAACAGCACTTACTAGGTAACCATATGTTTGATGTTTTACTTGACCATTCACCGTATACACATGGAATTTCTTCATCAATAAAAACACAAAACAATACGAGTAGCTAGGTGACGATAATGATCAGGGACCAAACATAAAGAAGCAGGTCAACGGCCAATCCTATTGCACGTATGATGTATAGTTAATCAATTACATTGCAACAATATGATATTTGGGATCAAGCCGGCAACTAGCGTTGGATTTTAGCAGGCAATCGTCGGACCGTTTCAACAGACCATTTTATATATGTGTTCGTATGTGTGTCTATTTATATAGTTGGCAACTAATTGATTCTTAAATACTAGTACAATAAAGTCGACAGGTACGTACAACCTATGTAGCTGGATAGTATACATGAGCGCACAGAGTTCAATCAGTTCATAGTCTCAAGATCTATGGTTGATACATTATACTACAAAAAATAAACCATCTAGCTGCATGCATGGTCAGGCTGCTTGCTACGTATCCGTGCCTGCTTGCGCTGTCATGTGGTGACCAAGTTTGCAAACTGGTGTGGGGGGCAGGAAGTAGAGCAATTGCCACAGACGACGACTTGGTGCAAGACTTGGCATCGCAAAGTCCACCTCAAGGCTCGTGGAATTAATCAAGATGTGCAGTTTGCAAGAAAGATCGTAGAATTATAAAAAGGATGTATGGAAAAAACATATACTAAAGACAGCATGCGTCGATCGGAGACTTTCTTGCATGGATGGACAGCGAGTGGGACTGCAGTGCATACTCATTAAATTCTGGTCCACGGAGAATTGGAAGTTGGCAATGGGTACTACCCTAAAAAAAACTCTCTTGGTAGTTTACCACCTTATAATACAGGACATGGTCAACACAAGAGTTATTTACCCAAAACCATCACATTATGGGATAGGGTAACAGATCGGTACCACATTTGAGGCAGGGCACAAAAAAACACCAACAATGGGGCTAATCTGTAACGCAAAGCACTGATTGTCTCATTTACTCATGAAAACAGCAAAATCGACAGGTCGAACCCACCGGTCAGGCTGACATGGCAAAGACCAAGCACAAAAAAAAACAGTAAACAGCTGAGTTGGCAAATGATATGCGGACCCCGCATTTCAGTGACTACATGATCATCTTCTTCCTATCTGCCTTTCTATGGAGCATTACATCGAGCAGCTTGTGGGCAGTCGGACTCCAGCGACCAAAGGCACCGGCAATTCAGCGGCGAGCACCATGGTGGTGGTGGGAGTGGGGGGCGCCGTGAGTCCTCGAAGGCCGATGTTGCTCCCGTCGGCATGGATGCCCGAGTCATCTGCGTCTGTGCGAGCCGAGAGCTCCATGGCCACCGTGGCCATGGCAGCCGAGCCCCTGCTCGAACTAGCCCCTGACCGCCTCGCCCTGTAGCCCCCACGCCTAGCCGCTGCGAGTCACACACGCATCGAGATGCGCCGACGAGATTCGGCAGCCGCTTGTCCCGCTGACGTCCGAGGTCGTCGGCCATGGCACGCACGCGCAGATGCAATCACAACATGGAGTAGCTCGAGCGGAGCCATGGTGTTCTTCTGTGGTTGTGGAGGCGCGCGGCAAACGCGTTGGCGGTGCACGACCGGAGCAACGGCGAGACAAGGGGTGGTCTGTGCAGCGGCCGTGGGGTCGTGCGGTGACTGGCGGAGCAGCTCGGGGCGACGTCGTCTGCAGAGCTTCGGGAGGATAAGGTGGCCGGCGGGCTGCCTTGGCCTACGGTGGCCCAGGCGGAGCTCCTCAACGAGCCGGTGCACGAAGGCCTCGGGTCGTTGGCGATGGTGACCCTGGTGGGATAGGACCGGGGGAGAGAGATAAAGATGACGAGGAAGAAAAAGAAAATAAGGGAAAAATATATGAGGCTGACATGTGGGACACCCCTCCAACTCAGCATATTGTCCACACAAGCACGCCACATCAGCCCGACAGGTGGGCCTAACTTGTCAGTTTCGCTGTTTTCTCAACCAAATCTGAGCATCAGTGCTCCGCGTTACAGATTAGGTACAATTTTGGTGGTTTTTTGTGCCCTGCCTCAAATGTGGCACCGATCTGTTACCCTAGCCCATAATGTGGTGGTTTTTGGTAAATAACTCTCAACACAACCATATTGCTTCAGGAACACGATGGCCGAGAAATGCAGGGTGGACTGAGATTTTTATTTTATTTTATGGGGCAAATTTATCCTTGGGAATGATCGGTGCACAAATTTCAAATTTTAAGTATTTTCTGAACACATATGTCGAGAGACTACTGCAATTCGAAAATTAACGTGCATTTAGAAATCCAAGGCACTACCCCGATAACTTCCAGCACTCTCACACAATCAACATTTTTGGCCGTCCAATCACATTTTTTGGGCGTTTCTGGCCATTCATTCTAGCTTCTTTTGTTTATCCTTATTTTCGGTCAATACGGCATACTTAACTAGAACTAGGGGTGTACTACGCTTGTCCTCACATACCAACATTATGTCTAATTCTATATGGGCCAAGCCGACAGGCTGTCCGATGAACTCCAGTACAAAATTTGGAGCCCTATGGTTGAGTGGGCCAAAAGAGCCCATGTAGCTCCTGTGCACAGAGGCCTACTCTATGGTGCATAGGCAACTTTGACATGTTCCCTGTGTTATGCCTAAGTGCTCCTACTCTGGTTGCGCCTCCTCCTCTCCCCGACCTCTAATTCCCCCAAACCAGCCCTCCCGGAACTGCCAGCAGCCGAATGTGACCTCAAGCGGTGTCTCCCGTTCTCGATATCGACTTTGATGGGAGGTGCCCATCTCGCAATCTTGATCTCGAGTAGCGTACCCACCGAGATGCGCCTACTTATCGCGTGATGACGACACCAGAACCGGCACTATAGGCATAATGTTGGCCCTTACCTCCCCACTTCCTCCATGCCCCTTCCACAACCAAAGGTAGCTTCAAGCGGACATGGAGTCAAATCACTTCTTCTCCCTTAATTTCCCACCCCTCGATTAGGTCCAGATCAGGATCATGGCCAGAGCCACCGGAGGTGGCCACAGAGTTGTCCACTATTATTGGAATCCACGCACTACATCGTCTTTTGCTGCACCATATCCGTCTTCTGCCGCCGCGTCACTCTTCCTTGTTTA